GGGTGGGGGGTGGGGTGTAGCGCTTTGTACTAAGGAAATAAGGCACAGAAGAGAAAAACGGAGTGTGACGCTCATACTCAAGGATGGAGACACTCTCAAAATAAGCCAGGCCTGCTCCTAAACAACACGCAGGCACTACTCTGTCAAATACCACAGCAAAGCCTTGTTGAAGAAACAAGTCTCTCCACTCTGTAGGTGCTATGGAAAATGCCAGAAACCAGGAAGCTGAAAGGCTGCCAGCTCACGCCACGGGCACCAACCGAAGAGAGGCAAATCTGGAACTGGTGGCAGCAGGACCTCAAAGGCACATCTTCAGCCATTCCAGTCATGTTTGTACTTTGCACTTAAGCAGTTCAAAATACTGAAACACACTAACCTCTTAACCGTTACAACATTCAGGGAGTGAGAAACACCACTCCAATTTCCTGTTTGGGGAGACTACACTGAGAGGAAGTTGTGTATCATACATGTGAATTGCCTATTCCAACCTCCTGTCACTAACATTCAGATCTGGCCCTGCCTAAATTCCTGACTCTAGTAAGCACCCAAAAGAGAACCAGAAATAAGAAACAATTCTCATTTGTATTTGAAGGAAGGTATATTTTTAAAGAACACTGCATGTCCTGTCTTAATTAAAGTTAATTACTCTAGTAGGTGAGGTTCTCTTAATTGTCTGACTTGGAAGCAGCTCAGTGAAACTTAAAGTAAGTACTATTTTGAGATTCCAATTAGTCGGCTTAGATACTTGAGTCCTTAACTTGAATTAATAACGTGTTGAATCAGAAACTCAGGGTTTGAGTTCTGAGCAGAGAGAAAGATACAGCAGGAAATACACAGAATGAAAAACTGTTTCCAGGTATTTAAGATTCTCTCAAAAATCAGGTCTCTAGTTCGTGTAACAGATCAGATGTACTACTGGAGGTGAGGTGGGCTGCATTTGGATTTATAAACACTGCAACATAATATAATGGGCAAGAATGTAAGTGATGCTAAATACAAACCACTTCTCCTTACACACCTAAGGAAAAACAACATGCTTCAAAAGGCGTTTGCCAGAGGCCCGCAATCAATCCTGAACAGCTGGCCAGACAGGCCTACGGCAGAACCCAGCACAGAGCTGAGCAGATGCTACCCGCCTTTCTCTTTTCTTAGCAATAAAGAAAAGCTTTAGATATGTGTGTTTAACACATTTTCTATTTTTATTCAAAATGCCTGCTTCCCTACAGCCTGATTTATCTCGGATTCAGATCAGTTTTGTTTGAAGACCTGGGAATTTTCTTAATGTTGGAATAGTCTCTCTTCCTCCTGAGGCAATGGCCAGGATCAGCTCAGTAGAACCAGTGGGTCAGGAAACCTTTGGGTATGACAGGGACAGGATCCTAATTTACAATGACAATTCCTGCAGTCATGCCCCAATCTACGAAAACTGTCGTCTGACCAGTCTTACAGCCATTACTTACTCATTTCCCTTACCTGCTTGATACTCCAAAATGAGGTGGAACTCATCCACTTCCTGCAATGATTCTGGTGGAACAAATACATTGTCATCCAGAAGTTCATGCAGCTTTGGACCAACAGGACCACAAAGAAGAACCTGGAGACAAGAACCACGAAGTCCATGAGGAAACCTGTTCCTTTTCCCGTAGAATCTGAACAGTGACCAGGGAGGTGCATTCAGGTCAGTTCTACTCATTTTAATGAAATGTTGGAACCCAAATCTAACTTTGAAAGCTCTTGGTTTGGAGGTATGTAGTAGAGGGATGATCGCCAGGGGTTAGGCCTCTGGAGACAATGGCCACAATGTACCCAGAAATGAGATGTTGATAAAAGACCCAGAGTCACAGATCTTGAACAGATAACTAATGGCTGCAAAAATCTGCATTTCCCACCCTAATAATTTATAGGCATTTTAATTCTTATTAAAATGTACACATTCATACTTTAATATATTCTCTGAGTACACCCATCTTCTGGTATACAGTGTGGATCCATATGATTTCCCCCTCGAATTGCTTATCATCTATCTGTATTACTAGGTCCACTTCTGGGCTTTTGATTCTGTCCCTCTGACCCATATTTCTGGTTTCAGGCTGCTCCCCCAAAACCAGAGGCCTGCTGTTCCCTCTCTCGTCTCTCAGCAGCCACATTCATCCTGCACGTCTCAAGTTTATATATCCTGGAATCACCTTCACTAAATCTCTCTTCTTTGCTCCCATGTACATGGTCTAGTGCCCAGCCAGTGACTCCACTGTATTAGGTTTTAGACATACACATCTCTTCTTGTGGCCGCTCTAATCCAAACCTTAATCATTTGACAGTAGGACAGCAGCAATAATTTCTTGCTGGCCTCCCCATCTTAGGCCTATTCCACTTATAGCAAAAGAATCTTCTTAGTTGTCTGTTACTTTGAACAGAACAATGATTTTTTAATTCCAGTTAAGCCAAATGGACTTGAAGACATGCCCCCATTGACCCCCTAATGGCCTTCTTTTTCACCACTTTGGATCCGGGCTCACCAATACAGACCGCCACGTTCTCTCTCATCCCTTGTATAATCCCCAGCCTCCAAGTCGTGACTCCAGAGGCCACATGCTCTCAACCATCACATGATACAGTATTTAAGAACATGGGCAGTGGCGTCAGGCTGCCAAGGTTAGAATCCCGGTTCCATTGCTTATTTGTCATGAACCTTGGGCAGTTTCTTACCTTCTAACAAGAGCCCCGTGCCTGGCACATAGCAGGTGGTCCATAAGCTGAGTCAAGGAACAAACACGCATTCTTGCCCATAAGATTATGGAAATACTAACCGAAAGGCATAGGTTTTAATCTGGGAATTTGACCTACCTTTAAATCTGAGTGGGCTGCAAATTTCTGTCCAATTAAAGCTGCATTTCCTCCTACATAGTGCTGTAAGAGTTCAAGGCTATTAGACAGTATCTTAGCACAACTATGTTAACTAAGCTTAATCATTTTCTAATTTATTGAAATAATTTATAGTCCATTTTTTCCCAAAAAGGTTTCAAGGTGACTTTACAACAAAGGGCACAAAGATGTAAGTTAATAAAATACAGAAACAGACGATGAGTAATAAGGAAAGGTAAAGAAGATCAATTTGCTAACCACGAAGACCAGTGTAACTTCCTTAACTATAGATCAAATTTGGCTCTGAGCTTCCAGGCAGCCAGGACAGAAAAAGGAAACATGAAAAATGTGGACAGATCTTATCTTCTACATTTACTCCTTCTAAAATGAGCATATGATTATGTCACTCTCCTCCTGAAAATCATTCACTAGACACTCTAATGAACTGAAACCCAACACTTACCTGAGGAGAACAAGGCCTTTCACTCTCTGACCCCTGCTTACCTGTCAACCCTCACCTCCTGCCTTCCCTTCCACATCCTGCTTGCAGCTCTCTGAGTGAGCCTTCCTCTCTTCTTTCTGTGCCTTTAGCACACTATTTCTTTGATTACGACACCCTCCCCTCTCGCACACTTGGTGAACTCCTGATCACTTAACAAGAGTCAACTCCAGCATCACCTCTTCTGCAATGCCTTCTCTCTTCCCCTTTCCCCACTGCCATCTCAGCTTCCACAACCCCCTTCCCCAGACAGGACTACAGATCCTACCCCTATACAGCCCTTCTCAGCCTGAGTTATTAGTATCGGGGTGCATAAGTAGCTTCTTCAGTGCAGGAATGATCTTACTCTTCTTAGAGTAAGTGCTCAGTAAATGTCTTGTTGAATTTTGGGAAAGGAAGAAACACACTGATTCTTTGGGAAAAAGAAAGGCGTTTCTGGGAGCATATCTCAGAAGAAAAAGGCTCTGATATAGGACATCGTTCTCAACATGTTTATAGCAAACACTGGCTAATTTCATAACATTAATCGGTAATTCAATGTTTCTTTGATGGGTTTAGCTAATACGGTGAATGTATCAGACTTTTCAGAGGGTGAACTTTAATAGTCTGAAGACAGTGTTTACAGCATTTACAGTGTCTGTGGACCCTCCGACTATTTTCCCTCAACACTGCATCTCTCAGGTGAGGACCAGCTGGGAGCTGGAGAGCAGACAAGTCAAAGCTGGGATCCCATGCTGCTGACTAAGGATGGATTCATGTGCTTTGGCAACCTGACAAGCAGGAGGCAAAGCTGATGTCTGATTATGAAAGCTGAGAAGCCTAATCAATATTCTCACCCAGGCGGAATGCTACACCCCTCATAGTCCTCTGCCCCACGCAGAGGCACAGACTAACAATCAAACAATTCTAGATGCTAGACATCACTTTCACCCCAAGGCCTGTGTGGATTGACCTCCGGACTCAAGCAGGGGCGGCTGTAGCTTTCTATAAATACACAGAAAACTATTTATGATATGTAGGATGAAATCTGGCCTTTTGACATGTTAGCATGAATTAATGTTTTAACTATGGTGGCCAGAAGAATCTGCTAAAAACGTTAGGGGAAAAGATTAGTGGTTAAAGCACTATGATCATAAAGACTTTCAAGCAGCTGACTTGCCATCATGTAGACCCATCATGATTTTCTCTAAGAGATCAGCCTCTCCCTACTGAGGCTGGCTGTCACGCTGAGGGGGAATGAACTGTGAACAGCTTGCTTTCTCTTTTGTATCAGCTGGGGAATGCTTGTGCCCATTTCTGATGTTCAACGGGCAGCTAAAGGGAAAAAAAACCTTAAAAATCTTAATCAACATGGTCACCAAGGTTTGCCTGTGACAGGTCCTGGTGAAAAATGGCATGAAGAGCATCTCTGGCTGGAACCACAGACTGGGCTGACGGGCCACAGGAAGGTTTTAGGTGAGCAGGAAGAAGTAGGGGCGAAGCTGAAACAAACAGCCCAAGCTCAGTCTCAAGCGGTGGGAGGGCCCGTGCAGCAGCAGGCCTGCTGGAGAGGCGAGAAGGGTGGCAGCTGGGGCGTCAGCCCAGCGCTGCCTCTCACTCTGTCTGGGACCTCCAGGGCTTGCCTGGACCGTGCCAGTCCCAGTGCTTTATCATCACCAGGTGGGCCTGGGAATCCCTAGGGTTCTCTCCACTTTTGAAAATTTCTATCCTATTGACCAGCAGTTCTCAGACCAACAGCATCAATGTCACCAGGAAACTTGTCAGAAAGGTAAACTCTTAGGTACCATCCCACATCTAATCAATCAGAAACTCTGCGCGTGGCACCCAGCAATCTGTTTCAACAACCCCTATGGCATACTCAAGTTTAAGAACCACTGATCTAGACCGCTGGTGATTTTAATCCCCCTCCCCTACCCCTTGGAAATACGTGACATTGTCTGGAGATATTTGTGGCCGTCGCAACTGAGGGAGATGAGGCTGCTACTGGCATCTAACGGGCAGAGGCCAGGGATGCTGCTGAACACCCAACAAAGCACAGGGTGGCCCTTACAACAAAGAACTATTCACCTCAAAACATCAATAGTGCCCCATTGAGAAACCCTGCTTTGGGCCAATGGAGGAAGGAAAGGACCGCATGAAGGCTAGAGCTAGTTCTCTGTGGCTCTGGCCTTGTTCTCCTGCCCAGAAAGGACTCAGCCATATTAAGATCACTGCAAGTTATCAGCCACAAGCAATACAATCCAAACAAGGAGAAGCAGATATCCTTTCTACCTTAAGTTTGGGTAACATGCAAAACGGGGTAATTTAGTATATAAATCAGAACCAAATTTGTAGTAAATATATTTCATAAATGTTGGTGGAATCTGACTGACTAGAAATGGCAGAGTTAATGGAAGGTCAGATGTATAGTTTTACAAAAAAGGAAAACACTGCAGAATTGGATTTCTAACAATCATACTCTTGGGGCCAAGTGGAACAACAAGTTGCTTGGTTGCTTCTAGGAGCCATACATGAGAAAGGCACCTTTTCGCACCCTACCTTAATTCGCTACTGGTGAACAGAACAGACCTGGGCTCCTGGGAGCTCTGAAGCAATCTGGGCAATGTCCTGAAAAGCTGCCTTATCACTGAAGAATCGCTCAGCAGCTGCTCCCTTCCCCATGAAGTGAACAAAGGCTTCTTCTAGATCATTCCTTGAATGCAGAATGGCGTGATCCTTCCCATCGCCAGGACTCAGGCCCAGTGCCTGCAAGAGCTTCACCCCTGAAAGCACCACATCCACGCAGGTGTTGACTCTGGGGAGGAAGGAGCAGAGACAGTGTGAGAGCCACAGAGCACTGGGTGGTGCTTTGCGTTCAACAGAAAATGTTTCCCAGAACGGTATTTAAAGAGAAAAACAGATGAGATGGATCTGAACCTGAGCAGGAACGCAAAGAGCACATGGCAGATGATTACTTAACCTGGACTAACGAGTTCTCTGTTCTCTGCATATCTTGGGATCAGAACACAATTCAGGAACTTTTTCAATGATTTGGCAAGCTTTTACACTAGCTACAAAGGAGACAGGCACTCAGCATTTCAGAACAGACCTGTCAACAACAGCACAAATGTACAGTTCAGAGAAAATGCTGGTGGAGCTACACTGCCTGGATTCATACTGGCTGTTTCTGTGTCTCAGTTTCCTCATCTATAACACGGGTGATAATATGAGTAGAGCTGTTGTGAAGATTAAATAAGTTAATACATGCTTAGACCAGTGCTTGGTGCAAAGTATAAATTTTGATCAAAAGCCAAATATCAAGACACCTTCCTTCCAAAGACACATCAGGATGGTGGTAAGATAAATAAAATGCCCAAATACTCCCAGCTGAAACCCTGCATTTTAGAGTTGGTTGGTGCGGTAGACTTAGGCACACCTGTGACTGTGTTAACAATGCCTCACTGGGCAGGTGTTCGCTGCACTGATGCGTGAGCTTAAAGGGCTGGTTAGAAGCCAGTGCTGCATCATTTCATGGGCTCTAAGGAAGTTGTAAAGTACTAAGGTGTCTGCCATGGCCCCTCCTACGTGAGGGTGGAGATCTGGCTTATTATCTTCAGTATTTCCTTGCTGAAAGTCATCCCTTAAAAGAGGAGGGCCAAATAATTAAGGTAGCTAGATGGGGTCTTCCTGACCCCTCCCCCGCCACAGTCACCTTTATTCCTGTCTCTGTATTGGGGATGCCTTTCTCGATAGTGGGGCTGGGTGACCACACAGGCAGCCCCCAGCCTCTGAGCAAGGCTGAAGGAAGGCTCAGAGCAGGCTGAGACAGTTCCTGGTGGCACAGTGATTAAAGAGTTCAGTGGCTAACCAAAAGGTCAGCAGTTTGAATCCATCAGCCAGTCCTTGGAAACCCTATGAGGCAGTTCTACTCTGTCCTATAGGGTCGCTATGAGTTGGAATTGACTCGATAGCAACGGGTTGAAACCAGCAAGCTCGTCCATAAAGAAGGCTTAATGGATTTTAGTGTAAAATATAGTTTCCTGTTCCCCTTCAAAAATTTCTTGGTCTGGAAACTGGCACAGCAAACCATTAACGGTGGCAAACTCTGAGAAGAGGAATGAGACTGGGGGGAGGGAGAAATTTTTACTTTCTATTAAGATGTATTTCTAGTTTTTATAAACATGAATTGCTCTTATGATTTTTACAACATAATTTTAAAAAAGGTTTGGTACGTAAGCTAGGTATTATTTCCATCACTCGAGGAAGGGTTACAAGGCGAGAAAGAGATACGCTCTTCTTCATGACACACTGATTACATCTTCCACATAAGGATCCTATAATTATTTTTTCTATCTATCAAACAGCTTTAAATACTCAAATTTTCTTATTCTTTTTAAACCAAGCACACCTATAACTGACAAACTGGACATAATCAGCATGGAATAAGGACATGAAGTAAATATAATTCCCCCCCAAAAGGAGAGAATTGCCATGTGTTGGTTAGGCTCGCAGCCCTGCTGTAGGTAAAGGTGTTAATTTCCATTAGGCTTTCTGAAATGTCAAAACCAGCTTGTAAACCCCATCATCTCCCTTAGGATTTCAGGAGGCATCATGTTAAAAATACAGATCACTTCGCCTTTGCCTTGTGACTCTGGTTAACTGGAGAGGCACGGTCCAGCGCACTCCTACCTGTCAGTGCACAGAACACATTGCCATGCATGTGGCAGGTACTCAAAGAGGGGTTGAAAACACACTCCTTTCATAGCCCACACAGCTTGTAAACGGGTCTCAATCCTGCCTCATCCAGAGGGCCCTTTATTTTCAGTTAACACAGTATTAGATGTCTGAAGAGTAGAATCTCAACAGGATACAGGTATCCCTGGCTCGGATGCTAATAGCTTCCCAAGTTTCAGAGAGTGAGACTTAGATAACAGGGATGCAAATTCCTGCAAACGGCCGTATCTACAAAATGTATCCAAATTGATTTGGTTCTTGAGTCTGGAGAGCAAGTGTTCAGATACTGAGGGATACCTGTATTTGGAAATAACTATCTTAAAAACTGTAGATAATCACCTCCATACCTAGTTCTGCTGAGACCTTGAACTTTGATAATGAGCAACTAATTTGCTCTGTAAACTTTCACCCAAATCACACACATACACACAAAACAGGAAAAAGAAACTTAGTTTGATGCTTTAGAGGTTTGAATACGGGAAGTTGAGTTTGCAAAAATTACAGACACACAAAAAAAGTAAAAGGAACAATGTTCAGCGTATTTTGCAACACAAGACAAAATCTAACAGAACTAATTTTAAGTTTAAAAATTACAACTGCTTCCTTTGCCATGAGACCAGAACTGGATAGTGCCCAACTAACATTACAGACCATTTAGATAAAAGTCTATAGCGGTATCCTGATCAAAAGGGGGAAAATGCAGAACAGAATTTCAAACTCTCATGGAATCCAGACTTTTTGGAGCCATGGAGGCTGGATGAATCCCCAAAACTATTCCTCTGAGATCATCTTTAAGCCTTAAACAAAAAATATCCCCTGAAGTCTTCTTAAAACCAAACAATAGTTTAGCTTAACTAATAAAGAATGTCTGCCTTGAGCATTATGTTCTTTTAAGATCTATCTATATGGGATCAAACTGGCAAGCACATCTCGAAAGATTAGATATGAACCCTAGGGGACAGGGAGTTTATGTTAACGGGGAAGGAACAATTCAGAGGAGAGTGAGAATGGTTGCACAACCTGAAGAATGTAATCAATGTCACTGAACTATACATGTAGAAACTGTTCAACTGGTATATGTTTGCTGTATTTTCAACAACAACAAACACACACACACACACATATACATATAAAACTTTACCACAGAAGTATCTTCAATCCTCTCCCTAATCATGTCTTGAATATTAGGGGGAAAAACAGTCTTACAAAGAAAATTATTTTATTTGATAACTTTTTTTTACAATAACAAAAATCACTGAACATCTACTCAGAGCGTATTTGAAGCAGGGGAAACGTCACAAGATGTGTTTTAGAAAGCTATGGGAGTGGGCTCACCAGTGACCAACATCTTCTTGAAAATCTTCTCATCCTTTACTTACTTCTTTGATTCCTTCTCCACCAGCCCCTTCAATGCTGGTGCCTCCAGGACTTCCACCTTTGCCATTTTTACCTTCTCTTCTTGCTCTCTTCCTGGGCAATCTTACCTTGTCTCTGGCTTCAAAGTGTTGACATCTTCAAAAATTTGCAGCTTTGCTCCAGAATATGTTCCTAAACGCCAGTCTCTCATTTTCAGCTGCTTAAGGAGCAGCTTTCTTTGAAATCCCAAAAGAATATACATTCTCCCTCCTCTAGAATGAAACTGGTTATCTTCCTCCATAAATGTATTCTTAGTCTCTCTTAAGGCAAGGATGTAGCATGAATGGAGGGAATGGGCTCAAGTGGCACCTCTAGTACCCGACAGCTGTGTGATCTTGGGCAAGTCACTTAATGTTTCCAAGCCTGGGTTTATCATCTCTGTGAAAACTGGCAACACTGTACCTATACCTATCTACCGCACAAAGTTTTTCTAAGATCACCACCCAATGCTTTCCTTACTCTACTACATCCAGCCTGTCAAGTACCTCTCAAATCTCATCTCTTTATCAAGCTGTTTTCTCCCTTCACCCAGTCCCTACAATGGCCTCGTAACCAGTGTCAGGGTAACAAGATTTTTCTCCTTATGTAAGAGAGACAAAGAAGAGAGAGAGACTACATGAATGTGTGTGTATTCTTCTGAGAAGGCAAACTATAACCCATCCCCCCAAACCGAGATTCTTATACAGGTACTTGCACCTATCCCCATCCCATCCCCTAGCAATCCCCATCTTCAGGTGAAAAATCCCTTTGGGTAATGAGAAATGCTACCAGTGTTATAAGTATGTTACCCAAAATGATGGGAAGCAGTAAAACAGGTTAGAATTACTGCTCAAAATCCACCCTTCAACTCTCACCAGTTATTCTCAGCAAAAAGCTGAGCATCATTTACCAGCTTATAAACGTTCATAGCTTCCCTATCACTGACCCTGACATAAAAGGCCCTTCACAATCTGGCCTAACTCCCTTCTCAGCATTGTCTCTTGGCACACTCTATCGTAAGATCCTTGCCCTAAACACAGGGACAACTTGCGGTTCCCCAAAAAGGCTATGTACTTTTCCACATTTGGTTCCCTCTGCCCCACGTTTGCCTGGAGAAGCCCCAGTTCTTCTCTAGGGTCTAGCCCACACAAGCCACTTCAGCAGAATAGAAAGATGCCACGAGATCGCCCAGCCCACATGCACTTTCTACAAAGTGATGCTGACATTCATCCCATCAAGGTGTGTTCTATGTCCCCTCCCCTTAAGACCAGGTGGACCTGTGACTCTGATAGAAGGGACACTACGTGCTTCTAAGGCTAGGTCATAAAAGGCATGAAAGCTTCCACCTGGTCCTCTCGGGACAGTCCCTCTCCTAAACCAGTCACTCTGCTTGAGAAAGCTAAACAGCTACATGGACAGATCATATGTAGGTGTTCCAGCTAAAAACCCTAGTTGAGCTCCTAGCTGACAACCACAGTCAACCTTCAAGACGGTAAACAGTTCCAGCCACCGTCCAACTGCAACTCATGAGAAGTGACTATCCCAACCCAATCAAACCTCAAAACCGTGACAGATAATACAATGACTGTTGTTTGAAGCTACTAAATTTTGGGGTGATTTGTTATGCAGCATTACTAAATGGTGTGTCACCTTCTCACATGGAGTTTTTCTGACAACAACCCATCCTGGGAAGAATCAGTCATCCTTTGGGACACCAGGGCTACCTGGTTCTTACTATCAGCTCAGTAAAGCACTTTCCATAATGAGTTTATCTGTTTCCAAAAAACGAGGCAGGCACCTTGCTTCACCCATCTCTGTATCCTCAGAATCTAGCACAGACCTGACACATGTAGTTGACGAATATCTGTTGAATAAATGAGCATAAAGCAAGGGAAGGCATTAAGAAGCATATATGGAACTGGGTGAAAATGGCCTGAACTTGAAAGAAGAGGTCAACAGAGAGACATCTGAAGAACAAGTAAATGTGTTGATATAAAAAATACTTGCTAACATTTAAGTGCTTTTTACAAAGCAGATACTGTGCTGGGTAGATAACATAGATTATTTCATTTATCTTCAAAATAACTTTGCTCTGCCTTACCTCTCATCCCTTCCCCGCGCCCTAGCCCAAACACATAAACGAATAGAAGGCCTGCTTTTGGATATGGTGCCTTTGGGGTGATGGCAAGATATTCCAGCAGAGCTGAGACATGGACTGGAGTTACTGCAAAGAGAATAATTACATTCCCAGAGAGGAGTACAAAGGAAGGAGGCACTGTGATTTGGAAGCACTTTAAATATGCAATGTCACTGAAGACAGGGAAGAAGAGTTTCAAGGACGGCACGTTCAACGCATAGAAGGCTACAGAGAGATTGATGATAAAGGCTTAAAAAAAAAAAAGGCAGTTGAATATGAAAATCTGTAAGTCACCACTGAGCTTTGGGAGGAGTTTCAATAGAGTGATGGGCTATATGGCGTCAACGAAGGGAATGCAAGGCTTAGAAAAGTCAGTAGCTTAAGGCAGAGATCACTCATCTTCAAGTTCAGAAGAGGAAGAAGAGTGCTGTCAAGGTGGGTAAGACCAAGCATTTGTGACTGCAAAAGGCAGTCACGAGAGGTGCAGGAGGGGTTTAAAGCTGGAACGATGAGGGAGGCTCGAACATGAGTGGGATCTGTAAGAGACTAGGGCCAGTCCTACGAAGATGTGAGACGGCACAGGGGCCAGGCGAGTGGAAAAAGCAGTCTGGTGAGTCCCTGCAGCGGTGACGACCGGGGCTCGTTCCCGACGTCCGATGCTTCTCGCCAAAGCAGCAACGCGGACACGTGCGTGGAGCAGCCCACTGGGGACCTCTGGGAACCTGTGCCCGCGCGGGCTCTAGCTCCCAAGCCGCCCAACCCCGAGCACCCGCACTTCCTGGGGAGGCTCGGAAACACCGGCGCTACAGGCACTCACCCCACGGCCACACGGCGCCAGCGCCGGGCCGGCCGCACAATGAGTGCGTCCCAGGCGGCCGCCAGACGACCCTCGGGGGACGCGGGTCCCGGGAGCGAGGGCGCGGGCCCCAGCCGCAGCGAGCTCCACAGAGAGCGTAGCGCCGAAGCCGGCAGCTCCGGCTCCAGCAGGAAAACGCAGCCCACCGCCAGCGCCAGAAAACCCGCGTACGCAGAGCCACGCCAGAGCGCCATGGGGACCGCGGCGCTGAAGCGTTCTCGTAAGGATCCTTTCCCAGCCCGCGCCTCTTCCGGACTCTGCGCGCGTCGACGTCGACATGCGCGCCACGTCACCTAGGAGCGCCACGGGGCCCGAGGGGGGGGGGCGAGGGGCGGGGCGCCGGACTGGAGGCTGGGGGACCGTCGTCCGCAGTCGAAATCCTCGCATTTGGGGGCACGGTTCCACGGCCCTAAAGGAGGTTGGACAAAGGCGGTAGTGACTGTCGGGCAAAGGAAGGAGGCACTGTGATTTGGAAATCCAACTGTATCCGAAGATAGAGGTGCTGCCATGCGTTTGTTTTCCCAGTAAAAGGAAACGGACAGATTATGAAGAAGCGGGCAATCTTCACATTAATATTCGAAACAGTCGGTGTACCCATTTGAGCTGCGACCGCAGGTCCACCGAGGGGCACGAGTCACACTCCCCTTTTTTAAATCCGTCCCTCCGCCCGTCTGTCCATTCTCCATCGTTTGTTAAGCTCATTCTTTTCAAGGCACGGTGCTCGGCACTCTTCGCCCCTGGAGGAATCGGCTCAGACAACAGCAGCTCTGCAGCGAAGCCCTGGGGCGTGCGAGGGAGGGAAATTCTGCCCGTTGGCCGAGACCGTTCAGCCAATAAGGGCCTATGTCAAGACTAAGGAGAGTCTGCAGTGATCGTCTTCGCCAGGAAGACTGTATTCAACATTCAGTACCTTAAAATAACCCTTTTGGGGGCGCTGTTCCTTTGAACTATCGCAGGAAAATGCACAAATGCACACAATCTTGTGTACAACACGGGGTTATGTTGTTGTGTGCCATCGAGTGGACCCTGATTTCTCTTGTTTCCCCTGGGTGATAGCATTTAAACCCAGGCCATCTTCCTTGTCGTGACCCTTCTGTGTGTGAGTCTAGGTTGAGGGCTAGTGAAGACAGGCTTGCTGCCAGCTCATTCTCAGCAGCCACCATGCCCAGCCCGGCCTGCCATTTTCCAGTTCTGCTAGTTCTCCTGTCTCCTGAGCTTGGCTCTGTGTCCAGTTTTCCACTCTGCTCCTGACCTTTGAACCTGGCAGTAAAACTTCAATTGATATTGAGCAGTATTAGGCTTTAGCCCTTCCAGCCTCACCCTACTAACACTTCCCCATCCTGGTCATCTGCCTTCCCTATCTCACTCCACCCAACCTACCTGACCATACAACACCTGAGTCCGTTAATTCCATCTCTTTCAAAGGAGATGTATGCACAGTAAGAGTTTTGGGCTACCATCCAAAAGAAAGAAGCCGAAGTGCTAATGAGATTCGTGTGGAGCCATGAAGCTATCCTTCTTAGAGTTGCCTGTCCCTTCTCTCACCCTGGGGAGACATGTCAGTCAGTTCTCAGAGAAACTGCTCCCTCCCAAGCCTCTGTGGAGGGTCGAGTGGGTAGGTTTCCCTACAACTCCAGAGGTGACCAAACCAGCACCTAACGCAAAAACAGTGAATCCACTGACTGTCCAGAGACCACTTCTTTCTTCCGAGAATTTGTACCAAGAGTCAGGAGTCTGTAGGTAGTTACTTTTGGTTGTGAACCAGATTGTTGTTAGTTGTTGAGTTGGTTCAGACTCATCATGACATATGTATAACAGACGAGACATTGCTCGGTGCTGCACCATCTTCATGATCATTGGCATGTTTGAGACCATTGTTGTAGCTATTATGTCAATCCATCTTATTTTTGTTGGCCCTCTGCTTTACCAGTCACAGTATGTCCTTTTTCTAGCGATTGGTCTTTTCTGATGACTTGTCCGGAATAAGCAAGTAGGAATCTTGCCATCTTCCCTTCTAAGGAACATTCTGATTGTATTTCAAAGTTGGGTAATTGTCTTAGTCATCTAGTGCTGCTATAACAGAAATACTACAAGTGGATGGTTTTAACAAAGAGAAGTTTATTTCCTTAAAGTAGGCCAAAAGTCCAAGTTCAGGGTGTCAGCTCCAGGGGAAGGCTTTCTGTCTGTTGGCCTTCTCATCAATGTTCCCCCAGACTAGGAGCTTCTCAGCGCAGGGGCCCTGGTCCAAAGGATGCGCTCTGCTCCTAGCACTGCTTTCTTGATATTATGAAGTCCCCCTGTCTCTCTGCTCACTTCTCTCTTTTATATCTCAAGAGATTGCCTTAGGACATAATCCAATCTTGTAGATTGAGTCCTGCCACCCATCCTCCCTCATTAACATCATAGAAGCAGGATTTACAAATATAGGAAAATCACACAGTACCAGGAATCATGTCCCAGCCAAATTGACACATTTTTGGGGGGGACATAATTCAATCCATGACAATAATGAAAAAGGAAGGTCAGCTAGAACCAGTTAAATATGTTTCGAAGGTGAGCAGAGGAAGGAGCAAAGGAAGCCCAACTGTAGGGAGGCCATGGAACAGACAAGTTGAGAAGAGCTGAGGGAGTACTCCAGTAGGCCCAAAGCAACGTGGAGAGAAAGGCACCTGGGGCCATCCTCCTTCCGTGAGAGGCTGCTGAACTTCTAGCACTTTGCCCCTCATTCCTCTGCTTCCTTCTAGACCTGCCAGAACTCTTGATTTAGTTACAGTGGCTTGAACAAAATGGAAGTTTATTTCTCATGTATAAGTCCAAATAGGGTGCTGCCACATTGCAGGCTACAGCAGTGAGCTTGACCCCATCTGGTCCCCGTGGTGGCTGCTCTGAGGCTCCACTGGCTGGTCACTCAGTGTGGGTTTGCGTTGTGGGTGGTGGCGGGGCCAGACAAGGAGCCATGAGCAGACCTCAGTTCCAACTGGAAACAGAAGAGGCAGGCCCTGCCATCTGGCAGCTGTCACTGGTGTTCTTCACCTCCTGCAGCTCCTGCCTCTTCAGTTCCAGTCACATCCACAACCACAGTGGCCTTAATTCCTTCTCACTCCTCATCAGGGGCGCATGGGCAGGCATTCAGCTCTCTTGGTCCTATAAAAACCCATTGCCACTGAGTCGATTCTGACTCATAGTATTACCACAATAACGCGGACTGGAGCCGCCTGCCGCAATAGCCAATTCTGAGACGGGTGAGGTGAGCAGCAAGATGTTTATTATATATCGATATATAGGAGACAGAGGGGAATAGATTCCTCCAAAAAACCCATCTCCCCCACTGGAGATCGGCTGAAGGCTTTTATAGGGACAGGATTATGGATCTTTTGTGGTAGTTTCCCCTTGAGGTGACGATGTCTTAGATGAGTTAACCTTCTACTGGTATTCTTAGAGGTTATCTGGTGACATCTTTGGGGATTATCTGGGGACATCCTGCTTTTTCTTATCACAAGATGGGTGCTTCGTTTGGTTTTTCATTCTTAGATCATTATCAGTTGTTTTCCACCCCCCAGGGAGGAACGTTGGTTAATCTTAAACCTTTTTGTAGAGACTAGAATGGGAGGGAAAAATCACGAGACAATGTGGCCGTTAGTAATGGGGAGTAAATAATAGTGAGCTGGGCCTATGCAGCCTCTTCCAATAGCAACCCTATAGGACAGAGTAGAACGGCCCCATAGGGTTTCCAAGCTGTAAATCTGTATGGAAGCAGACTGCCACATCTAACTGTCTCGGAGCAGCTGGTGAGTTTGAATTGCTGACCTTTCGGTTAGCAGCCAAGTGCTTTAACCACTGCACCATCAGGGATCCTCTTGGTACTATGAACCAAAAACCCTTGCTGACAAGTTGATTCCGACTCATAGCGACCCTATAGGACAGAGTAGAACTGCCCCATAGGGTTTCCGAGGAGTGGCTGGTGGATTCTAACTGCTGAGCTTTTCGTTAGCAGCCTGAGCTCTTAACCACTGTGCCGCCATAGTCCCTCTTAAAATATTTCCTAATTGAAAAATAGTAATTTCAGATTCCCATCATCTGTTTATAGAGCCCGGAATGTTTACAGGCCAATTCTTTTTCTAGAAGTTAGATTTCTGGGGGGCATTATACAGAACAGATCCCAGCGGGCAACTTTGGCTTCATTGCCTAAACGGAACAAAGAGAAAAGGGCTGGGCGTGCCTCAAGCAATGGCCACCCCCCCCCCACCCCCGCCCCGCCACACACCCACCCAAATTGCTTCCAGACATGGCCTTTGGTATTGGCTCTCTCTCCCCGGACTTTGAAATGAGAGAAAAAAGCAGTCCCGTTTCAGAAAATTCAGAGACAGCGGAGGCTCCAGGTATCTCACCCAAGACCCTGACATGGGAGGCCAGGGAGCAGATCCCGTATTTATACAAGGAATTAGCAGAGTTCTATCCATTCCCAAATTAGCCTAAGCCTCTGGCTTTGACACAAACACTGGTCAACACCAACAATGTGATCTGAGGCGTTTTAAAGAGCAAGTTTGTTTCCACACTGGAGCAGAAACTAAAGCAGGACCAAACAGTCCTAATGAAAGCTGGACTAACCCGCTTTGCCCACAGATCCAGGCCTCTGGGATTTCATCCAAGCTGCTCTCTGAAGGCTACACTCTGTCAAGCCATTTGCTGATGCCAGGGGACACAGCCCACCACACAGGCCCCACCAAAGGCCAGAGTCAGAGCCCGGCTTTGAAGGTTATAGAAAACTCCAAGGTGACAAAAGAGAAGGAATAACAGATCCCGGGATCTGAAGAGAGAAAGCTTTGAGTGATCAGACACCCTCCTCCCTAACCTGCGATCAGGAAGGTACTAGAAAAACTCACAGGATAGATTGCTGAATGGGGAAAAGCAGGGATGTTGAAGGCACGGGAGCCAGGTGATGAGAATGTCAGCAGCAAAGCGGTGCAGAGGGCCTGGAAGTTCCCTGGCAGCAGCAGCCCTTCCTACACAGATTGTGAGCAGGGACCTTCCAAGCTTGTGGGACTGGAACCGTGTGGAACGCTGGGGCCTGCATGTGTGTGGAGGCCTGGATCTCCACCTCGGGAGATTCCTGCCTTGGACTAGCAGGAAGCTCTGGGCCTAGAAAAGTAGGAACAGAGCTGTCTGGGCTTCTGTCTGGCAGGGGTCAACCAGCTTCAAAGAGCAAATGAGTTAGGGGGCAAAAAACAGCATGGGCCTCCCTCAGCAGTGCTGTCTCCCGTCTCAGGCTTCCTGGAATACTG